CTGTCCCTTCCCTCCCTATCTGACCCCGGAGTTCCTACTGAGCTGTGAAGTCTTGACAGGAGATTCCCTCATGAAAGACACAGGTGACTGGACAAGCTGGTTTCCCAGACCAAAGGCTGATGGGTATAAAGAGGTAATTACTATGAAGAGTGAGAGCGACACTAATGTGGAACACTAGGACACTAGAGCCTGAGCTCCCTCAGATCCTGGCGTAAATAACAAGGTCAGAGAAACAGCATTTGTCTATATATTGACTAGGTACTTAATTTTTAAAAAAATTACAGGAAAAAACAAAACAAAACAAAACCATGACCCCAACTCCAATAAACAAGCAAATTAAAAACTATTCCAAGTTACTTTTAATCATTACCCACTGGATAAGTACATATCTGGCTAATTAACAAATTATACCATTCTTACAGGACAATGAGCTACGCTATTAAAAGCCTTTGAATTTTTGAACAATTGATTTTCTTTCTTTTCTCTCTTTTTTTTTTGAGATGGAGTTTCACTCTTGTTGCCCAGGCTGGAGTGCCATGGTGGGATCTTGGCTCACCACAACCTCTGCCTCCCGGGTTCAAGCTATTCTCCTGCCTCAGCCTCCTGAGAGTAGCTGGGATTACAGACATGCGCCACCATGCCTGGCTAGAACAATTGATTTTCTTATTAAAGTCTCTTTTGGAGTTAGGATTGCTTTGTCAGTCTTGGGAAACAGCCTGTGGATATTATATGGTATCACCACCAATATATTAGACATGAACTTAGAGGAGACAAATAGGTGGCACTTAACTATTATGTTGTGCATTTGAACTTCTTTGCAAAAATTTTCTACGCATACGAAAATATACACTTTTACATATTTATGCTCTTTTACAACCTGCAGTATGCTGTAACATCTTTCCATATTAATAAAGGTTGGGCCGGGCAGGATGGCTCACATCTGTAATCCCAGCACTTTGTGAGGCTGAGGCAGGCAGATCACCTCAGGTCAGGAGATCGATATCAGCCTGGCCAACATGCTGAAACCCCATGTCTACTAAAAATACAAAAAAAATTAGCCAGATGTGGTGGCACATTCCTGTAATTCCAGCTACTCGGGAGGCTGAGGTGGGAGAATCACTTGAACCCAGGAGGCGGAGGTTGCAGTGAGCCGAGATTGTTCCACTGCTCTCCAGCTTGGGCAAGACAGTGAGACTCTGTCTCAAAAAAAATAAAAAAGGTCACTTTTTCAGTTTCTGCATAGCATTCGATTGCATTTCAATACATCGAGGCCTTTAAAATATTATTGAAAATGGATATATCATTTACATACAGTAAAACGCACAAATATTAAATGTTACAATTCAGTAAGTTTTCTGCCTTGCCTACGTACACATCAAAATAACCACCACCCCGGAACAAGATACAGAACATTTTCAACATCTAAAAAAGTTCCAGCATGCTCCATCCCAGACAATACCCCACAGAACAGCATAGGTTACTACTATTCTGACTTCTAGCACCATATATTAGTTTTGACCATTCTTGAACGTCACATAAATGGATCCAGATAGCATGTTTTCATTTGTGCCTGCTTTTTGTTTTGCATGCTGTTGTTAATAATCATCTTTATTGTCACATCAGTTCAAACTGTTTTAGTGCTGTGTAGTAATTTCATTGCATGAATCTACCATTATTTATAAATTCTCTCGCTGATAAAAGTTGGGGTTGTTTCCAGTTTTTGGCTATTAAGAATACAATATTTATGAACATTCTTTTACAAGTCTTTAAATGCAAGCATATGAGCTCTTTTGAGTACATGGCTATTCAGAGTGGCTGGGTCTTAAGGTAGAGATATACTTATCTTTATTAGAAACTGCCAAACTGTTTTCCTTTTTTTCCTAAAAGGTGTTTTTTGTCTTTATAATATTAATCTTTCTAGTAGGCATGTACTGGCATTTATTGTGACTTAAACTTGGCTTTCCTAAATAAGTAATGCTGTTGAGTTCCTTTCCATATTCTTCTGGCCATTTGCTTTTTTTTTTTATGTGAAGTATCCAAGTCTTTTGCTCATTTTCAGTCTCTTTTGTGTGTGTGTTTTCTTAACAGTTTACAGGAGTAATATACTGTCAGATATGTGTCAATGATGTCTTTTCTTGAGAAGTTTTAAGTTTTGACAAAGCCCATTTATTAACATTTCCTTTTATGCCTAGTGTTTTCTGGGTTATAAGAAACCTATGCCTACTCCAAAGTCATGAAAACATTCTCCCTTATTCTCTTCTAAATGTTTTAAGATTTTAGCTTTTACATTTTGGCCTAAGATCCATCTCAAATTATTTGTTTATGGCATGACATAGGGATCAAGGTTTCTTTTTTTTTTTTTCCATATGGATAGCCATTAAAATTTTACTTTTCAACAGAATACATTTTATAATTCTTATGTGTTTTTGTTCCTGAGAACAATTTAAAACATACCTTTAATTATTAATCTAAGTGAGGCTTGATGTGGTGGCTCACGCCTGTAATCCCAGCACTTTGGGAGGCCAAGGCAGACAGATCACATGAGGCCAGGAGTTCAATAACAGCCTGGTGACATTGTGAAATTGTGTCTACTAAAAATACAAAAATTAGCCAGGTAATTACACTCCTGTAATTCCAGCTATTTGGGAGGCTGAGGCATGAAAATCACTTGAAAGCCAGAGGCGGAGACTGCAGTGAGCCAAGATTCTGTCACTGCACTCCAGCCTGGGTGACAGAGTAAGACTCTGTCTCCAAAAAAAAAAAAAAAAATTAATCTAAGTGATATCAGGCTAACAGATTTCTCAATATATAATTTTACCATATTAATATTTTTAAAAATATTATCAAAGGTGGGATAATTTAGTAGTAAAAATAATATTCTCAACAAGAGATTTTTACTTCAAACTTCAACAAAAGGCAGTTTATTGCCGGGCGTGGTGGCTCACACTTGTAATCCCAGCACTTTGGGAGGCTGAGGCGGGTGGATCACGGGGTCAAGAGATCGAGACCATCCTGGTCAACATGGTGAAACCCTGTCTCTACTAAAAATACAAAAATTAGCTGGGCATGGTGGTGCACGCCTGTAGTCCCAGCTACTTGGGAGGCTGAGGCAGGAGAACTGCTTGAGCCCAGGAGACAGAGGTTGCGGTGAGCCGAGATCGCGCCATTGCACTCCAGCCTAGGTAACAAGAGCAAAACTCCGTCTCAAAAAAAAAAAAAAAAAAAAAAAAAAAAAAAAAAAAAGGCAGTTTATTTATAAATTCACTTGCCTTTAGTAATGCATGGTCTTTGTAGAAGATTTACAAGTTAATTTAAAAAAATTATTCTCTATAGCAGTTGGTGAAATTTCATAATGAAATTGCATCTTTTGACTTTGGCAAACAACCATGGACAGTAAAGTTTTAGGTATTATTTGACAAGAAGCATTTCATTCGACTAGAGCTGAATTTGCAAGTGAAAATACTATAATTGTCTTTAAGTATTTATATGTGTACAATGTTTCATGTTGTATCTCTTAGTGCTATCTATCTATAATAGACATGATCACAGGATAAATCTAAAAGAAGAGAAACTAACTTTACTGAGCATTCCCTATGTCATTGAGCTAGATGTCTCTACTACATGAATCTCACATAATCCTCACAACAAACCTACAAGAGAAATGTCATTTCCCCACCTCCATCTTATAGACAAGTGAGCCTAGAGTCAATGGCATTACAGATTTCCCAAAGTCTATGGCTAGTAAGGGATAGAGCTGGGGCTGTAATGAAAATCTGTCTGAATTCAAAACAGAAGTTCTAGAACTATGTTATTCTCTGAGAGAAAAATGGTTGATTAATAAAAAGCAAATTACATATTTTAGGACATTCACTAATAAAATATTTCTTAATAAATCAAAGCAGCCACATATTTTTTCTGAATGTTTTTCTCAGGACTGTGCCAGGTACTGTAAAAGATACTTAAGCAGGAACCTTTGCCACAAAGGAATTTACAGTCTAGCTGAGGAGACACAGCTAACATGCACAAGTCAATTAGTGAACATAACTAAATGGTTAACATTAATGGTTAAAGTAAGATCTAGAAGCCACCGATGCTAAATAAATTTTTTTAATGAAGAACTGTGTTGGAGCACAACAAATTGACATTTAGGTGGGACTGCATTATGAAGGGTCTTGTAAGAGGAAAAATGAGTAAAATTGAGTTTAAGCCCTTGAAGGTCTTTGATTTGGCATAAAGAAAGAGGTATTTAAGAAAGTTTTGGCTGGGCGCCATGGCTCATGCCTGTAATCCCAGCACTTTGGGAGGTGGAGGCTGGCAGATCACCTGAAGTCAGGAGTTCAAGACCAGCCTGACCAACATGGTGAAATCCCATCTCTACTAAAAATACAAACATTAGCTGGGTGTGGTGGCGCATACCTGTAGTCCCAGCTACTCAGGAGGCTGAGGCAGGAGAATCACTTGAACCTGGGAGACGGAGGTTGCAGTGAGCCATGATCGCACTACTGCACTCCAGCTTTAAGCGACAGAGCAAGACTCCATCTAAAAAAAAAAAAAAAAAGAAGAAGAAAGTTTTGTTTAGCAGAAAAACTCAAAAACTCAGGTTATCTCTGAGAAGAGTGTGAGAAATAAAGCCATGAAAAAAGTAGTTAATAAAATTCTAGTAGTAAAACAAGGACCTGAGTGAAGGTAGTGGCAGTAAGAAACTTGGAAAACAAATGATATACGACAAAGACTAAAACTTCTCTCCAACAGTATATTGTTCACTATAAGTCAGATATTATAAAAATAATATAAAAAATATACTTAGCCACTAGCATGCTTCCCAATCATATGGAAATTCTAGATCTAATTTATAGTTTCAGGAAACGGATTAATAGATCTTGATATGAGACAGCTGCTCACCCCTGTGAAAATTAAAAACATTTTAAAAGCCCTCTTCCTTTTTGATTATCTCTGAAATAACCAGTTTTCTAGGAAAAAGGAAAAGTGCCATCTTTTTCATAATCTCTGCAATGCAAGTGCCAAGCAAATGTGATTTATACCTGTTTTATGACATACAGATTCTGCCAATTATCTTCAGTTTATCAAAACCACTTTTTATAAAGGAGTGCAGAGTATCGTTTTCCTGAATTATTATTAGACTAGGCCTACATGTGCAAATAAATCTCTTCTTTCCAAATCTTGTATGTAAGTGCACTATTATAAGGACATATGCCCACAGAGTAAGCACACAATAAGTGTTTCTTGATTAGATGACTTGGAACATAAACCAGTAACCATGGTAATTAATTCAGACCAATGCAGAGAAAGATTATGAAACTAAAACACAGGAAACAATTGAGGAGAATCTTCTTAGAGATTAACTTTGATTCCAATGGCTTGTTTAAATTCATGGTTTTGTGGTTCCAAGATGTCATAGAAAACTTGGTTTTTGTCAAAATGGTCTCTAATGTAAAGTAAATCTTCAATGGAATAGTTATCATTTCTTCCGGTCCAAATAGTCAGGCTGTACCTGCATTGAAATAAAACAGAATTATATAGTTAAAAGTGGAAGATAAAGTGATGAGTCATTCCAATCAGCCTAAAAATACTTTCACTTGTCTCTAACTCAAATGCACGCAGATGAAAAATTTAATCAGCAATGGTGTAACTGTACTTTCCTATTTCATTCTTTCATCAATATCAGAGGGATGAGAGACAAAAAATATTCACACTGCTGTTGTTTAAATGACATAACTGCTCTATCTGCATTACAGGAATGTTAAATGAACTAAGAAAGCAGGCTGGTGGCATGAGAAATGGGTCTAATTTTGAAAAAAGGAATCAAAGAGACTGTGTGGCTGATGGAGGAATCTGTAACCCCGGTTTGTTCAGGAGCCTGGTCTGAGTGAAAAGCACAATGGTAAGGGATTGTGAAGATACACAAATGTCAGTGACATCCACAACACTTATGGTCATATATGTAGGCCCTGCTGCTTCTTTTGAAGGTTTCTGTATGAGACACAAGAGTGCCAAGAGATGTCACTAAGAATGGCAAATAGAATACACTTAGAAGTTTTTCTGAAGAGCTGAAAACCAATAACCTATGTAAATTCATTATGGATGTAAGAGTATGCTCAGAATGTTAATGTTACTTAAACTGTACATTTTTATTTCTTCTGGTGACACTACTACTGTTGCATTAAAGTCTGGGGAAATGCAAAGCTGCTAAGCGGTTTCATATTTATATTCCCCACAAACTTGTCAGAATCCAGGGGAAAATTTCCAAAGCATTTTTTCTACTGGTGATAAGAAATAACTGCCTAACCAAGGCATATTTTCTTGTCACACTGACACATTCCTGCCCTTAAGGATGGTGACATTCACCATTCGGGAAATACAACAGAGGAAGGTAATTTGGATATCGTCCCACAGCAGTATCATATGACAAACCAAAAAGAATTTAAACTACAGCTAAGGACACAGAAAAAGAAAAATGAAAATTAGTTCTGAAACCTGTATTTTTTGCTAAAATGGAATCTTTATTACTTTATCTGGGCACCATGGTGACAAACCTTTAGAGAAAGGCATGGTTATGAGCATTCAGATTAAAAGAAGAGCTTCCCAGTATAATTTTGCCTCTTAATATTCACTTCATTGTATTTAGATTGAAATGGAAAAAAAAATTGCCTGAGGGTAAACTGTATTCATTGATATCAATTCTCAAACTTCATTTTTTTACTTTATTGTGAAATAACACACATAATTCTTCAGATTGTGGTTTTGATTTAAAAAAAAAAAGCAGCACATATAACATAAATAGAAATTTTATCAGATTATTATAAAGTGAACTCCAGTGTAATCAAAACAAATAAACAGAACATGGCCAGCAGCTGAGGAAGCACCATGGTGTCACTGCTCTATCATAATCCCCTCTCCCTTCAAGTGGCCATGATCTTTAAGATTGTTAAGTACGTGACAGAGAAGGAAATGGGAACAATTACATAGTGAAAGAGACTGAGGAGACATGATAACTACAGTCAGTGCATTTTCTTGGAGAGTTTTCTGGATCAGAAGGGAAAAAGAGGTATTGTTGCAATGGTTGGTAAATCTGAATGGGGTCCGTGCCCTGTATGCTAGTGATGTATCAACGCTGACTTCCTGATTGGGAGGCTGGACGGTGGTAATACAGAAGTGAGTCCTTTGGGACGGTATTCTCTGAAGTACTTAAGGATAATGAGGCTCAACCAGAAACATATAAATAGAAAATTATACATCTGGAGAGAAATAATGGACAAATGCAGGAAAATGTTAACAACTGTGGAATTTGGGTGAAGGAGATGTGGTAGTTTTTGTGATTTTTCTGTAAATTTAAAACTTAAAAAAAAAAATAACTGAAAATCACTCCTAAAAAAGACAGTATTAAAAAAAAAATCCCAGGTGCGGTGGCTCAGCCTGTAATCCCAGCACTTTGGGAGGCCGAGGCAGGTGGACTGCCTGAGCTCAGGAGTTCAAGACCACCCTGGGCAACATGGTAAAACCCCGTCTCTACTAAAATACAAAAAATTAGCAGGGTGTGGTGGTACGCGCCTGTCGTCCCAGCAACTTGGGAGGATGAGGCATGGGAATCACCTGAGACCCGGAGGCGGAGGTTGCAGTGAGCCGAGATCACCCACTGCGCCCAGCTAAGGTTACAGAGTGAGACTCTGTCTCAAAAAAAAAAGCAAAATGCCATAAAGTTAATTTTCAAATAAAAGATAGGGCAAAATTACTCAAAGCAAACAAAAAGAAAGACAACATGCCTATTTGGTTAAAAAGAAAACAAAAAAAATCATTAAATAAGACCAAGAACACTGTGGTAAAGGTATCATTCTTAGTGAAGACACAATAGATGTGAATAAACAAATAGCATATAATGAACATTTTAAAAGCAAAAACTATGAAGGTGGGTGAGGAAATAGATAAAAATACTTTAAGAGCTAGAGATGACATATATTTGTACATATGCAAAATAACACACTAATAAGGTTATTTATGGTAACACTGTAATATAAAATATTAGAACTATGCTAAATGCCCATCAAAAGGAGGCTGGTTAAGTCAATTATAGTACATACATAAATATCATGCACCTAGGAAAGAAAAACAAGAAAGTTTACTTCAGAAAGAGCTTCATAATATATTAAGCTAAAAAGAGAAAAAGGAAGGAAAAGGAAAAAAATCAAAGAAAAGAACAAAACCAAAGGAGCAAGGTGTATAACATGTTATCTTTTGTTTTAAAAAGGAAGGGGACCAGGTGTGGTAGCTCACACCTGTAATTCCAGTGCTCTGGAGGCCAAGGCGGGTGGATAACTTGAGGTCAGGCATTCAAGACCAGCCTAGCCAACGTAGTAAAACTCTGCCTCCACTAAAAATAAAAAAAAATTAGCCAGGTATGGTGGTGGGCTCCTGTAATCCCAGCTACTGGGGAGGCTGAGGCACGAGAATTGCTTGAACCCAGGAAGCAGAGGTTGCAGTGAGCTAAGATTGTGCCACTGCACTCCAGCCTGGGCAACAGAGTAAGATTCCATCTCAAAATAAATAAATAAATAAAATAAAAATAAAAACAAAAAGGAGGGGAAATTATGACACTATATTTACATTTACTCTTACATGTATAAAGAAAGTAACAACTATAGTTAGTGACATTGGGCAGGAAAACTGGGCAGATGAGAAAAAGGCTTTTCACAGTATAAGTCTATTCAGTTTTTGAACTAATTTTCTTCTTTGAAAAATTAAATTTAAAATACTTTTTTTTCTTGAGACAGTTTCGCTCTGAGTTATAGTCAATGTGTTCTAACAGGAAGACATGTAACATCAGTAACACTGCAGAATAGAAGTTTCTATCCCTCGAATACCCCACTGAAACACTGATTTTGACAACTACTTATATAGATAAAAGCATCTTTGTGGGAACCCAGGAGTCCAGTGGAAAGGTTCTGCTACTACACTGGAGAACACACATACACAAAATCTGAGAACAGACACATTGAAGAAGGTAAAACATTTCACTTTACCCACATTACCCCTCCTCTAAGGCAGCACAATTCAGTGCCAACAAAGACCTCCTTGGCTTGTGTATTCTCCTATGAGGAAAAGTAAGAGTGTGGTAAGTACCTAGCTTCACTACCCATGTGGGATGCTGCTCAAGAGGTCCACTTCATCCTCTCACCCTGCCCAGAAGGCTGAAGGGATCAGCAAGGCTGATTAGTCCAGGAGCAACAGGAATTGGAAAGTGGGTAGAGGCTCACTTATTTTTAATTTTAGTGGGTACATTGTAGGTATATATATTTATGGGGTACATGAGGTGTTTTGATATAGGCATGTAATATGTAATAATCACTTGAAAAAGGGGTTCCCATCCCCTCAAGTATTTATCCTTTGTGTTACAAACAATCTAATTATACTCTTCTAGTTATTTTTAAATGTACAATTAAATGAACAATAGTCACCCTGTTGTGCATCACATACTAGGCCTTATTCATTCAAATATTTTTTCATATCCATTAGCCATTCACATCTCCCCCAACACCCACCACCACTACCTATCCCAGTGTCTGGTAAACCAACCTTCTCCTCTCTATCACCTTAGGTTCAATTGCTCCAATTTTTAGGATCCTCAAATAAATGAGAACATGTGATGTTTGTCTTTCTGTGCCTGGCTTATTTCACTTAACATAACGATCTCCAGTTCCATCCATGTTGTTGCAAATGACAGGATCCCATTCTTTTTTATGGCTGAATATATCCCATTGTATATAAGTGACATATATATATACTTTAATCTATTCATCTGTTGATGAAAGAACACTTTGGTTGCTTTCAAATCTTGGCTATTGTGAATAGTGCTTCAACAAACATGGACGTACAGACATCTCTTGGATACGCTGATTTCCTTTCTTTTGTTTACATACCCATCAGTGGGATTGCTGGATTATATGGTAGCTCTATGCATACTTTTTTCCTTAAAAAACTAAAGCCCTCATACCAACAGCATACAAGGGTTCCCTTTTCTCTACATCCGGGCTAGCATTTATTGCCTGTCTTTTGGATAAAAGTCATTTTAATTGGGGTGTGATGATATCTCATCGTAGTTTTGATTTGCATCTCCCTGATAATCGATGTTGAGCACCTTTTCATATGCTTGTTTGCCATCTGTCTGTCTTTTCTTGAGAAATGTCTATTCAAATCTTTTGTCCATTTAAAATCAGATTATTAGATTTTTTCCAGTTGTTTGAGCTCCTTATATATTCCAGTTATTAATCCCTTGTTAGATGGGTAGTTTGCAAATATTTTCTTCCATTCTGTATATTGCCTCTTTACTTTTTTGACCATTACCTTCGCTGTGCAGCTTTATGACTTGATGTGATCCCATTTGTCCATTTGTGCGTTGGTTGCCTTGCTTGTGGAGTATTACTAAAGAAATCTTTGCTCAGACCAACGTCTTGGAGGGTTTCCCCAGTGATTTCTTGTAGTAGTTTCATAGTTTGAGGT